GGCCTTCCTTGCCTACACTAGTAGAATACCCCAACGGGCATAGTAATGCCAGTGGGACTCTTGGAATTCCAGACTGATGTCTCTTAGTCGCCTGTGCAATATTTTATACTGCTAAAACAAGTAGGAGATTGCCATTCTACCTTCATTTGTTCGCACTTCCTTTTATTTTTTAATCTGATTCCTAACAATATATTATTTTAACAGGTAATTTAGTATTGTTCAAAATACTGAAAATTTCGGGAATCAAGGAAGTGACACAACATTATTATTTAAAAATGTATTTATTGCTTTTCGAAGTATTCTCCGCAAAATTTGACACATTTTTCCATACGATGGAACCAATCATTGAAGCAACCATTCTATTCGGAAGTTGGGGTCTCCAAAATGGCCGTTTTGTAAGCATCCACAGCTTCTTCAGGTGATGAAAATCCCTGTCCACGCAATTTATTCTTTATTTTAGGGAAAGTATAGAAATCATTAGGGCTTAGGTCGGGGCTGTACGGTGGATGGTCTAATAATTCTATGTTTTCTTGCTCTAAAAACTCTTTTGTTCTGTTTGCGGTGTGAGAACTCGCATTGTCGTGATGGAGGATGATGCGGCGGTTGCAGTTCTCTTTACGGAGTTCAGAAACGACCTGTGGCAAACAAATGCTAGCATACCATGCATTAACCGTTCTTTGTCCCTCAAGAAGAATAGTCGTAACATGGCCGGTTTTGAAGACAAACGTGGCCACCATTTTTTTTGCAACACTCCGTGAACGAACAATTTTTGTTGGCTTTAGCTCTTGAATTTTCTCGAGTCAATTCCATTTTCTCAACGACTAAACAAGTTTGACAAAACCTTGTGACAAGACCGAGAATGTTATTTTAAATAAATAAATGGTATTCGATTTTTAAAACCAAGGAGTTTTCAATTAAAAAGATTTTAATATGACAGGAACAGTGGAAATATTCCATTCCCGATACTTTTAGTGCAGCCTATGTATATGATAAAATTTTTCTTTTTCATAGATTTTATGCAGTTTAATTACGAGTATCAATATAAATAAAATAAATGTATTACTACTAACCACTTTATGGACCTTGTGTCAAACAAATTTATTATTATTATTTATTATTTAAAAGTATAGTTGGGGTGTAGAATATATCCCGTATCATCCCACGTGAGTTCCAAATGACGGAAACTGAAACATTAGATAGGCAAGAACGTATTTCCGATAGCAACTTAAAATTAAAAAAAAATTGCGGTTGTCAACTTGCCAAGCGTGGCAACTTTAGCAAATTCCCTATATGAGGCAATCTATGGGCACAGAGGCAAAGCTTTTAAGTAGCTGTCAAAATTTTTTACCTATTTTGGTAGGGTCGGCACAAGAGGATAAAATTAAATAAGCAAAACGTTTATCAGCGTTTGTTATATACTTAAGATAGAATATTTTTTTATAAACTACCTGTTCTAAATGTTTTATTTTATAATTTTTGTTCTTCGACAATTTATAGTGTCTTTTAATTAAATGGTAAATTATGTATCTAATGTAAAGTTTTTTAATAATCTATTGGAAAGCACTCGCATGGCATAACAAATGTAGTTTGGAAAACCCAAAAGTGCACGTCTCATAAGCGTTTCATTTAATTTTGATTAAAAAGTAAAATAAAAATAGTGACGATAATTTTCACAGAAAGAAAAAACAGAGAACGTGATCGAGTGATGAGTTCAATAACAAAAATCAATATGGATCCTCCTTAGAATGTGTGGAATCTCATTTAATACTATATATCTCAATCTATTGCTGACATATTTCTATTATGCGAGAAAACTCACCGACGCATAGACAAACGGACGGCATTTCATATATTTATTCAAAAAAAATTTTTGTTATCCCTCACGTTGTGAGGCGTACAATAGAACCTTGCACACGAATACTGTATTATCAATATTTACAATTATTCTTTCGAGATCAAAATATTCGCAAAATTTTTGCTCATACAATCCATACATTCATTTCAGATACATTCTCACATTGGTTGGAACTCAAACAAGCACCATCATTTGTCTGCAAGTTGAGTATTGGAAAAGCATTTCCAAATAAATATTTTACAGATCTTTTATTAGAAAACTTAATACAGGATTTCAGTCTATATTGTTGAATTTTTAAACTAAAAAAGTTTTGAAAGGAGATCTTCTCGTCTGTCAGCTTTTAACCACTCGTGCCGTCTGAAATAACAATAATAAAAAAACATGAATCTACGTATATAAACATTATAAAAATAACTATTCAATCACTTATAGGTAGGTAGGTCACTTATAGGTGAATTATTTATCTATCACATTAAAATAATAAATTATAGTCAAGTTACTACTTACCTAGAGTCTATGGGATAATAAAATATATATATATATATATATATATATATATATATATATATATATATATATATATATATATATATATATATATATATATACATATACATATTCTATTAATGTTCATACAAACAGTACAGTAAGCCATACTACCACTTTTTAATATTTTATGTGACAATCAACCCTGACTTTAAACACTGGCCGAGCCGGTTTAACACGTTCGCTGCGGCAACTATTTGAGACATTATTCCCCCAGTGAGTTACCAGGTCTATAGGCCTTATACCTAAACTTTTCACCGGTGCGTCAATGGGTCAATAAACCTGGTAAGATATGGGTCACTTCAAACTCTAATAACTCTGCGAAAACTTTTGATATTGAATATTTTTTTTAACTAGGTTATTGAGAAAATGTAAGCCTATCTTATACTATCGTCGCAAATTGCTCCGATGACTTATTTAAAAAATATACAGAAAAACAAACATAAGGCTTATCGACCCATTACCGCACCTAGGTAATGGTATAATTGGGATAATTTTAGTGATGGGAAATAACATAAGTACAGAAATATCGAGATCAACTTTATTTTATTATTAACTGTTATCTGTTATAGATGATTTTCGTAAAAACATTTAGCGCAATATCCCTTGTTGCACTCAGCACAATACGATTTAATTTTTTTGGATTTTCTTTGAGCATCTTTGCTATTTAACGTTGCACGAAGCTTATTGATTGATTATTCTGCGTTTGGGTGTCATATATTGCACAGATTTCCTCGTTGGATAGTGGGCATAATAAGGATTTTGCACATGAAATATCACTAATAGAACTAGTCCTGCTTGTAAGATTTGATACGTTCGGAGTTACTGGGGTTTCTTTTCGTAAATTATAATATTTGCGGATAGGAGTTGCAAGTCCGTATTCAGCGTTTTCCAGTACATGAAGAGTATTGCCAGTACTAGGACTAACATAAACATCGTTTTCTGATGTTTGTATTTTCTTTCTTTTAGGCGTAAAGTCTAAATAAGTCTTTCTAACTTGAGGACTTACCCGCATTGAGCTATCGTGTAAAGTTGAACTGAAGCTAGGTTCTTGAAAAGCAATAGATGAACTGCAGCGAGGTTCTTGAAAAGTTGTAGTTTCACTGCTTGTAGAAGCTGACTTAACAATAACATCCTGAAGGATTTGAATTTGTTTTTTTTCTTGTAAGCTGGCACTGTTATTTTGGTCCACCACTTCTTGAGCATTTTGAAAAGACAGCTCGAGCATTTTGAAAAGACAGCTCGAGCATTTTTCGACAACGTTTATTGACTCGATGCATTTTTTATGAATCGTACGCACATGCATTTGTAAAAGCTGTCAACACAACACTAAATAATTTTAACTCTTCAATCAGTGCGGTATTAGGCAGTTAGGCGTTGTACTTCCCATAAGGCCTATGGGCCTTGTATCCGCACTGAATGTCAATTTCTACTCTCCAGTGCGGTATAAGGTCGATAGGCCTGATACAAATATTATTATTTAAATGAATAGCCATTGAAAAGACGATCTTAAATATATACTTGTCTTTATCACTTATAGAGAAATATTTAAGTTACTGCGTTCGCACCAGAGGGAGAACGCTGTATTTTCGCTCCGCACCGACTGCAAGTTCATGTATCAGGCCTATAAGCCTTGTGCCGCAGCGAACGTGTTAAAACAGTTTCTACGTCAGTCAGTACGTGACCACATAGACTAATATATAATACCGTGACCAGCCGCCAGTGCTTACGCACACACGCACCTCAAGTTTGTAGCAGTTAAATTATTATAGCGCGGTTGTATGAAGCTTTGCCTCTGTACGGTACAGTTTCTTTACTCATGTGCTATGGGGAAGGCCTACGTTCAGTAGTAGACATTTGTAGTCTGTAATGGATGGATGGGTAATATATTATTTATCAGCTCTTAACAATTCATTGTTAGAGTTGGGCCGTCTATATTATACGAAGGATTCTGCCATGATCTCCGCGCAAAGCTGGTGGATTAGGAATCGCACTACCAGATGATTATTGCCACTGACGCTGCTCCTCGTCGCTGGTCTGGATATTTTTACATTGGGAATTTACGAGTTGGTATATCTATTAGAAGTTATTTTTGGTGAAATTCTCCAATTTGAATTTGAAAAAAAAAACAATCGTGAACGAACGATCGAAACGAGATCCGTGCTCAGCAGTACTATTTCTTTAGTTTTTTTTTTAAATTAATAGTCACGGTACAGCTTGACCGAAACAATAAGGCGCATGACAGGGATGCGGTTTCGGTGCCCGTACCCCGCCTCTATCCTCGCGGTTCCCCTAGTGACCAATCAACTACCGGTGTTCCCTCCCTAGTTCTAATAACGTCTTAGCTGTCATGCGCCTAATTATTTTGGTAACGTAGTGGTAGTGTCATGTTTTCTACACGTGTTTTCTCTACTAGCTTTAACAAATTCACTCATGGATTCGCCTTTCTAAACTTTTAAAACTAAACGCATACAAACTTCGAAGATGACAAATTTATCTGGAAACTGTTTTGTTACTTTAATATTTTCTGTGTAAATGTAGATAGATTTAAGAATAAAAAGGTAGTTTGTATATTAATGTAAATAATCCTGTGTTTCAGAATTCCAAAAGACGTTTGCATCTCTGGCAACAGAAGTGCCTCCTTCGCACCCTGCTGCAGCTCACCTTCGCGTGCCACGGGGCTTAAAAGGCCCTCATCACATATTTGAATGTCGTCGAACGAACATTATGGGCTCCTTAGTGCAAGATGCTTCACCGTTCCTCTTTCCATGCACCATTGAATACTCTTTGATATGTGCCGCTATACTATACGTCATGTGGAAAAACATCTCCAAATATCCGTCGAAGGATGTGGCAGCTGCTATTGCTAAAGCTCGGTTACTTGAAGGTCTTGCTTATAAGAAATCTCCCCATTTGTATAGTGTAGATTGTGCAAGAGCTCACAAAGGCCTATTCTTCGGGATACTAGTGTTAGTTCTTACTATTATCTCACTTATACTATTCTTCGTGCTCATATCGAAAAAGGAATACGCTACACTGGCTGTCGTGGAAGTAAACGTATGTGAATTGACTTTGTATGCTATGACGACCTTTGCTAGCCTAGCTGGTATGGTCTGTGTCAGAAATTTAAAGTACGACGGAAATCGTAATCTTGAGTTGGACAACATTTTGCTAGTCGGCGCACAAACGGGAATGTTCATTTACGGAACATTTACTATAATTGGGGGACATTTCACTATTGAAAAAAACACAATACTAATACTGATAACAGCGTTGTCGTCGTTAGTACAGACGACATGTCAGACGATGTTCATTTTAGATGCGAGCCGGAGATCGGCGAAAACACCCGAACAGTTACGAAAGAAGCCTGGGAGGGAGATCGTTACCTTCCTCCTCGTGACTAATTTGGCGATGTGGGCAATCAACACTCTTGAAAAGTCTAGAGCGGAATCACATCCAGTCCAGTTGCACTTCTACGGTCTGTGGGCTTGGACAATCATAACGCACGTGTCAATGCCTTTGGCGATTTTCTATCGATTCCATTCAACAGTTTGTTTATGTGAGATCTGGAAACGGGCTTACAAGATGAAGCCGGCTTATATGTAGCGACAGATAGAAAGGTACTAAGTACAAATAAATGAAAGCAAATCTAAAGACTATGGTAATCTTTGATTAAAATACTCAGTGGATATTAAATGTTATTGTCATAATCATTACCAGCACACATTTCAATGTGTTGTTAGGCCATTAATAAGTGCCATATATATATTACATCAGACTAAATTTAACAACTTACAAAACAGACTTAAATGTATGAATGATAAACGAAAGGCGTATTAGATTTATTTCTTATTAAATCGACTTTTAATTAGAAATGAACTATATCCGTGAGTTGTTCTTAGTTTATTCTTAAAACTAAAACTAAAACCATACCCATATCTTTGGAATTTTAGAGATATGACATCGAAACAAAAACTAAGTTTTTTTTTTATAGGATAGGTTGACAAACGAGCACACTATCCACCTGATGGTCAGTGGTTGCTGTGACCCATAGACATCTACATCTATCTTCACTACACTGGTATAATCAAAATGCAGATGCGTTGTCAACCGTGAGGACTATGATGGAATGCCCCTTTTTCAGTAAAAAGGGTCTCCGGTTCTCTACACTAACATGTTGATACATCCAGTAATATTTTTTAATTCCGTGTTAATATATATCAAACATACAACCAAAAAAACTTTCAACTGTGTTTACATGTACATGCAACGTTTGTTAACTTAATAAGAAATCCAATCCAAATTCCGCAAACACATGACATATTTATGTATAATGTAATACTAGATTAACGTTGGATTTGAAAAAGAACGGAAATATTAAGATAATGAAGTATCGGGCTGATATTTCTTTCTTAGCGTTATACGTTACATGAAAACTATGGAGTGTAGAGTAGAAGGAGAACCATCTTATAAGGTGCGAAAGTTGAAAAAGTGTCTCAATATATACTGAAAATAGAGGTTCCAAAACCTACTACAATAGCGCTGGCGTCTGAAAAACTACGATATGAATATAGCTGTTGTAGACGGAGTGAAGTCAGCTGAATTAAAATATTTAAAAAATTTCATGACTAGAGTAGTTAGTAAAATGCCAGTATACAAAACCTCAACTATTTACGTAGTACAAAACCAAGCGGATTGGTCTCATTATTATTGGCATCTTATTCTAATAAACTTTGGCGCTTTTTTTTAATTTATCCTATGCTACTGCAGCGCCACCCTTATTGGACGCGTTTTTAGGGACACTTTTCATATACAGAGATGGTCCTCCTTCTACTCTACACTCCATAATGAAAACAAAAATAGGTATTTTTTATTATTTTTAATGAAAGTTGATGTTCTAAAATCTAACCGATCAAATTTGGTTTATGAATAATAATAACTATAAAGTAATTTGAACTATTTATACATATAAATCTAGTGCATTTTGTTTTCGTTTTTTAAAATGCACTACAACATCGCCATGTTAATTTAAAGTTGACTGCTCTAATGTTAAGTTACTATATTTAGATATTTTAATGTGTTATTTATTTGTAGCTTTATTGAACGCTTTAAACTGTATTAGCGGAACTGTGTTGATGATTATATTGTAATTACAGTATTTCACAATTAGACGGGTTGGATTATATTTATTTTTAGCGTTTAGATGTTATATTTCATTTTTAGTGTTATATTGTTGCATAAGTGCGAACCTTTTGCAAGTGATCATATTAAGGTTCTGTGTTCATTGTCATCTCCTTTAGATATAATTAGGTAAGTTTAGAGGTATAATATATAGTAAGGTTTGTACCCACATTCCACTTTTAATATCTAGGCAGCTACATCATTCATGCATGCAGATTCAAAAGTAATGTCTTCCAATAGGTTACATTCAATAACAGTTAACTTCACATATTCGCCATTATTTATTTATTTCATATTAGTTAATAGTAAATCATTATAACAGTAAAATTACTCTTACCGTAAGAAATGTATAAAGTGGTTTTCTTACAGTAAATGTATTATTCCTTATTGTAGCATGATTTTCTTCTGGTATATTTGGATCTAGTCGTAAACAAAAGAATATCTGTAAATATGATTCACCATAACTGAGCTATTACGCCGCAAGCGTATATTTTTCTGTTATATTTTTCTTAAAGTATGAATAATTATGGTGTGACTAAATCCAGGGGGAGCAATCAAATCGACCTAATAAAACATTTTTGAGAATTTTTCGAACATAAGACACAAAGAAAATTTATGATACGATAATATTTAACTTTTTACTTCGTATGACTTCGATGTAACATAGTAAATTTTGTAGCGGTATTTTTGCGATAAAAATCTTGTGTCAGTATTTTGGATAAACGTTTTAAAACTGTAGTAATTCCTGTAGTGTGTACCCGTAGTTAGATAAAAAGTAACACCGAAGGTTGTATAAATTCAGGGCCGGTCCTACACTAATATTTAAAGGGAGCGAGTTCAACAGTGGCAAAGACACGCGGCTGCTTTCGCTGTCGCACGGATGGGCCAGCTCGAACAGGGGTGGTACCCCTTACAGAATACCAGCGTGAAGTAGAAGGTTACTTCTGTGATTCGCTTGGTTAGTGCAGGCCGGAGGCTCAATCCCCCCCCCCCCCCCCCCTATTGACATGGTAGCGGCAAGACACTACCCCAGTAGGGTACCAGCACCCGTCGAGAATCCCTCGCTAAGCATCCATGCTCAGGCTGCCCAGTGTATATAGGGGAGGGGGGGGGGGGGCAATTCCGCTCGCGATTAATACTGCTCGGGGCAAACGGATCAATAAAACAAAGGCGACCCCTTCCACGCTATACGTAAATTTCTGCAACATCCGGGGACTTCATTCGAACCTCAACGCCCTCCACTACCATCTGCAGACGATTAACCTTCTAACCGAGACACAGGCTGCAGACTCCATGCTACAACAGGTCTCAACCGCAGAGATCGTTATCCTCGGTGACTTTAGCGCCCAACACGCTGAATGGCTTGGTTACCGTTTAATCGATCATGCGGGTAGATCTGTTTATGACTTGGCCTTGGCATATGGTCTGACACAACTGGTTACTTCGCCTACGCATATCCAAGATGTGGAGGATCATGCACCTTCCCTGTTGGATCTTCTACTGACCTCTCACCCGGATGGATATCGCGTATTCGTCGATGCCCCTCTTGGTTCCTCGGATCATTGTTTAGTCCCGAGAGTCTTTTTTTGCATCCTGCCTTTGGGGGTGGGTTTGCTTCTCGCCGGATGATCCCAACATTGTTGCTGATTCTGTCAGTAATGTGGTGCTTCAAGGAATGGAACTTTTTATTCCATCATCTGTGGTACCTATCAGAGGATTGACGAGCAAGGCTGTCCAAGAGAACTTCTATTTCTTATTTTATTCATCTTTGCACAAGGAGAACGACTCACTGGCCCATGCCGCAAAGGAGGAAGTCGATCTGCGAGGCACTCTTTTTGCGTCCAACTCGACTCTTGATGACAGGGGGAACCATCACCATCACGCGGTGTGAGTGCTCCATGCAGGATGTGCTGTTTACTCAGCGCTCGGTGCACATAGCACTCCTCTCCCTTGACGTCAACAAGTCGAGTGGGCCTGATAGCGTCCTTCCTAGTAGTAGGCGTCCCTCCGGGGTAACATTCATTGCTATGCGGATGACAACACAGGTGATGCTTTATACACCAGCCGTGCCAATATTTCTCGGGAAAACATCACTGAGTACCGGAACAAACTTGTGTCTGAAGTCGAGCTTTGTTGAACAAAGTCTCGGATTGGGAGCGACTAAATCTAGTCCAGTTCAATCCCCAGAAGACATAAGTTTGGGCGTTTACCGTTAAAAATAACCCCTTTGTCGTATCTTCTCTCATTCAAGGTACTCCCTTTGTTGCCTCAGCCAGTATCGGAATCCTCGGCGTCGACATATCGAATGATGTGCAGTTTCGTGGTCACTTGGAAGAGAAGGCCAATTTGATCTCTGAAAAGCTCAGCAGAGCGGGACAGTATTTCATGCTGGCACACCGCTTACAACTTTACAAGGCGCAAGTTCGGTCCCACGTGGAATACTGTTCCCATTCCTAGGCAAGGGCTCCCCAGTGCTAGCTCCTTCCACTTGACCGCATCCAGCGCAGAGCAGCTCGAATCGTCGACGACCGAGTTCTTTCTGATCGGCTTGACTCATTGGTACTGCGAAAAGATGTTGATCTCTTTGTGTATTTTATTGCATCTACCACGTGGAGTGCTCGGACTGATTCCAGCCGCTCAATTTCGCCATTACACATCGCGACAAAACTCGCGATAACATCCATACCATCTGGATGTTTGGTCGGTCCACGACTGTGCGATTTAGAAGAAGTTTTCTTCCTCGCACAACTTTCTTGAGGAATCGACTATCACCAGAGATTTTTCAGGACCGATACGACTTAGTGACCTTAAAGAAAAGAACTTACTCTTTTTTAAAAGGCCGGCAACGCATCTACAATTCCCTTGGTGTTGCAGTTGTTTATAGGCGGCGGTAGTCACTTACCATCAGGTGAGCCGCATGCTAACTCTGCTATAAAAAAACCAACCAAAAGTTGCATTTTAAATATTTAAATCGTAATTACTTAGTGCTTCAAAAACAATAGAGCACGTCACTTTCAAATCTTGTTCAGAAAAACACCGAGGTCCGGCCCTGGAAGAATTTTGGAGCTTATAATAGAGTCCATAGAAGAGATTTGCTTAAAATCCTGACACCAATTTAACTGTAAGTCGTATGTTATTTGCAAACTAACATCGCGCGCAAGCGTTCGTCAATAGACTTGCTGATTCGTCCAATATATTTTATATAGATTTTATGTAATAGCCTCTTAAATAATTTTGTCTAGAGGCTATATGATAGAGGCCACATTAAGAGTAAACGTTCCGTTTTATGTGTACAATTTGGTTATCTTTATAGTTATGGCATTTTAGATAGAAAAAACAGGATCACGCAATACACGCTCAATTTCCAACATTTAAAAATTGTAGAATTAAGTTTTGATGGCTAAATTCAAAGTAAAGATTTTACT